AGCCTCGGATGGTCATTCGTAACGTTGACGAACTGTCGCGAGAAGGCTATACATTTTGCAAATGTCTAGTATAAGAATTTAATTCGTTTGTCTTTTGTATCTCTTTATTAGCTTTTGTTTGTCTTGTCCCCCGTCTCGATGAGTCTCATCGTCGCCCACTGGTCACCATAGCCGGTCGAATCCCAAACTAATCTAGAACCACACTACCGTTCATACTGGCGACAGCGAAAAAAGTACCCGCTCTTCGTTTTTTGAAAATACCCATTTTTTGGCGTTTTCGAATAACTTCAAAAAATGAGTACAAGATACCCATTTAAAGGGTCCACGAGGGTTGCTTAGCTTAAGAGGGTAGTACCAACAATCAATACGAAACTAACGATTTTAAATTGGCTCACCACTTTAGTAGCCTATTGGTCCCAAGCAAACGATTAACGTACCCTATTCTAGTTGAAATTCTATTACTACACTATGTTTGTTTTGATTCGCTATGAAAGTTTGACAGATAACATCAGGGGTGTGTGGGTTCATGCAGAACATGCAGGGGTGAGTGAAATAGCTTGGGACTGCTTGGGACCGTTGTTCTGGTACTGAGTGAGCCAAAAATAATAATGATTTTCTTCGGGACCCAGTGGTCTTAGAGTTACCTCTATGGTAGTACACTTTGAACGTCCAAAAAGTAAGGCATTTTCGTTAATTTTTTTTAAGCAATAAAACACTCAGGGAGGGCAAATATGTTATTACCCATTTATTAGTCATCCTTCGAACTACAATTTGTATTTTTTTAACTCGATTGGCGTCTCGCCCACCAGGTCGCGCGGGCGTCCTCGCGCGGAAGTCGGAAAACGGCATGGGAAAATACTCCTTTCCATGTGATCGAACAAAAATCCTGATTGGTAATGAAATTTGTGTTAGAAATACGTATTTCGATTTTTTTTAAATTAATTTTTTCAAAAGTTGTGGCCTTAGGAAAAAAAAGTCCATTTTTTCACCCTAAAAATGCTTACAAAATCGTGGATTAAAAATCCATTTTTGACAAAATCGAAAATGTGGATACGTATTTCTAAGCAGAATTTAATTCTGAACAAGAAAACCTAGGCGATATCCAAATTTGATGATAACTGGTTAGAGTTATTTCCCACGCCAGTTTGAAAAACCCCGTTTCGAGATAAACGCTTTTAAAGATAAAATTACTCTCTCAGCGCGCCGGTACATGTTTTAGGAAATCGCTTCGTAAAGCGGTAAGGAATATTCTGGCGGACTTGAAGTCTTTTCTAAATTAAAGTATACATCCCAAGGAACATTTTAAGCCAAAAAAAAATCAAAGTATACTCCCCCCTTAAAGTTAGTGTGTAGAAACTAAGCGATCGATTCTATTGGTGAATAGGTAACGTCAGAGTTTATAATAGAAAAGCTACGCAGAGTGAAGCTTGCTACACTGATGTCAATCAATGGGCATTTTTTTTATTATTTTGGCATCCTTTGTTTTTGTTTACACCTCGGATGACTTCTCCTGGGTTGTAAAAGTTTCCTCTGTTATATAGCGCGTTTCACACCAAATTGGACTAATAAGCGCGTTTTCACTTATTAAAAAGTGTGATAAAACTGCAAGTTTACGTCTAATCGTCTTGGTGTCTTCGGTGCACTTATTCCTTATGATGCAAGCAATAAGTGCTCCGAAGACATCAAAACAATTTGACGGAAACGTGCACTTTTATCACACTTTTCGCATTTTTGGGACAGTCCAGTTTCAGATGCAATTTGTGTAAACAATACTTCCCACACAACAGAGTCAGTTTGTCTACTATGCTCGATAGGTAGACGGTTTGACAGTTCGATAGGTAGATTTTGAGGTAGATTTGGTGTCAGTCTGCGTAACTCTTCTATTAGACGATCGCAGTAGGCCGCGCTTGAAAGCTGACATGTTTTTCTTTTGCTGCGTATTTTTTCGCCAGCGAATTAAACTTTTTTTTGCATTCAATTTGTTAATTTGTTTCCTGAAATTTAGTTTCAAGTGTTCATAAAGTTCTCATTTAGTGATATATCGTGTTTTGCCTGTCTCCAAAATATACGACGCAGCTTCAGTTCCATTGTTCGGTGTCGGTTTTCATTGCCTCCCGGGAGCCCGGTGCTCCGAGTTCGGATGTTACACTTTCGGCGTGTATTTCTATTGAGAGGAGTGTGTTGATAATGTGTCCGTCGCGAGTTTTGGTGGTGATTCGGTGGCCGACGTTGTGGGCGCGACTCTCCAGTCATTCTGAAATGGGTGGCTGGATCTGCAATAGAGCTATCACTTTCTAACTAAAGCTGTCTACAATGACCATAAATGCGGCATTGTAGAGAGAGTTCTTCCATAATAACACTGCCGGCCAGTGGGGGTTAGAGGGAATACACACACACACAGTCTGCGTACCTCTTCTATTATCAACTCTGGGTAACGTCTTCAAGAGTGTTGTGAGCAGACATTTTTTTTCCGAGAGGTATAGGAAGCGGAACAGTTTTTCACTTTTCACTTTCACGGCAAACAAAATCTACTCACAACACTCTTGTGACGTTTTCCTATTCACCACCAGAGGTTAAATCGATCACTTAGTTTGTATTAGGTGTATAGTTAAGATACAAATCAGTTCAGATCGGTGGAAAATCGTACAATAAGACAATTACCGATGGAAATTGGCAAGATGTTCAATGAAAAATGCTTTAATTTGCGTTGTGAAAAATAGTTATTCTGATGTAAACAAACGGTTTAGTTGACGGGGGGAGAGGTAGCTCATCGATTCTTCCGGTTCGCCTCCTAGCATCGTGCTATAAGGTACCAGGCGATAACCAGGGTAGTTGATCGATAGCTCGATGACGTCATTTCGTTGACGTCTGCAATGGGAAATTCTCATAGCAGGCGTTGACGATGGGACGTTGTCGAGTTGTTGAATAGCAACTATCGTGGTAACTCACCGATTACCTGTCGATCTGGCAAATTTGGAAAGACGTCTGCATTGAATTGTCTCATATAATAATATTCCGCCCACTATATCACAAGAAATTGCGAGTAGCTGAGTGGAATGGAGATAAGTTAAGCATTGGGTACAGGACCAAGTCTCCCCTGGGTGGTGCCAAAAGATGAGCGCAATAGAATCATCAAGTTGCCATAAGGCACGGAATGAGACTATTGCATGGCTGGGTAGTCAAAGTCTTCCATTCGTTAGTCATTTCAGGTGGATTAGAACAGGTTTAGGTTTAGGGTGGGCGTTGGCCAGATTTGGATTTTTCAGATGTAATCCTGGATAGGACCCTGTCATTGAACGTCGCGTAAAAGTGGAACCTAATGAAGGCCTAAGTACTTTTTCATAGTTTTTAGTTTTCGGATTTGAAAGATCGTCGGTTACAGTGGCCTGCTTACTGAGCAGAAAAACGCGGTCCCAGGTCCTTACATATCAAAAAGATTTATGGTAAAATCGCTTGTGTATCGTGTATTTTGCGAAACTCGTTGTTGTCGTTGGTTCCGGGTTTGAATGGATACACAAATTTGAGCAACGGTATTATGTGATATGAGGGGCTCGGTGGCCTTAGAGCAATCGTTTTTGCTTACTGAGCAGAACATCATGAGTCTAATCTCAGGCCCATCCACATTCAAGATTCGTCAATCGTTTTATTTGTTAATATGACTACATGGTAATAACAGCAACTCGGTGATTAAAAAGGTGCTCGTCTGTCAAGTGGCAAACGTTTTTGCTTACTGAGCAGAAGACCGTGGGTTTAGTCCCAAGCTCCTTCGCGTTATATGATCGTTAGGACATCAATTCAGCTTATCGTTTACCAAAACGAACCCTGCTGCAAACCCAACCCTCTTATACAACATCCCAGTGATTCCTCGTGGAAGTGCAGAGGTGTTCTCGGCTTCCATCAAAGCGAGTGTCATGTCAACACAATCCTTCCCATTCCTTTCTTGACCTGTGTTCGGGCGCGGCCGGCGCTGGTATTGCCTAATTTAAGATCACTAGTTTTTACACATTGAGGATGATTGCTAGTCCCAAGCATCGTCTATTGGTTCTCTGTGTAATTACAGCTGATCTGGCAGTAACAGAGTAGCAACCGTGGGCGGTCAATCAAGCTCAAGCTCAAGCTCAAGCTGTAAACAAACGGTTTAGTTGACGCTTCTTCTCGAAGTCGCGTGGCGCACTCTACGTTGGTGGTACATTAAAAAGGCCTATATGATATTTTCATGCATCGTCAATGTAGAGTGCGCTAGCCAATTTTGAGAGGAAATGTCCAATCCATTTGTTTACATCATTATGGCGATTCTCAAAACCCAACATAATGTACATTTTATTGCACAACTTGCAAATTTTTATCAATAGTGGTCTTATTTTTCGATTATCTACAGATCTGAACTGATTTACAGCTGAAATAACCACACAATAAAAATCCGGAAGAGCATAACCGCTGGGAAAATTATATAAATCTTAATTTTAAATACATTCAGGGAAGACAGTCAGTCAGTCATATAATCCAATCAACCACTATTTTATCCCGACACAAATGTGGCCGGCTTCTTCTTAATCCAAAACCCTTATGCGACACATCAAATAACATACCAATTGGTCAGAATTTTCTTAAATTTGTCGGAACTTCTCTAGAGTTCCCAAAATTTTCCAGATGCTCATTGATCGGACTCCAAGGTGCCGCCATTTTCGTGAATTTCTTCAAACTTCCTCGAACTTATAGCTTCTGTAAATATTTTTAAGCTTTGGTGAATTTCTATCGATTTTTCGATGCTCTGTGGATTTTCTAGATTTTCTTTCGAGTATCTTGACTTTCTTGAATTCCATAGAACTTCTGCAAAGCTCAAGAGGTGGTCACTCTACACACTTATTTTGCGCCAAATTTTTATCTCAGTGTGCCTCAGTGCCGAGAAGTCATTGAACTGACTTTTGTTTGCTTGTGAATAATGCCTTGTTTGGCAACCCGGTATTTTAACAGCTCTTATTTTTGTTTTGTTTTTCAAGCTCCGTTGCTACACGATCCTACCATCTTCGGTGGACGGCCGATCCCGTACAACGACCGTCAATCATTAGTCAACCATGGTCCTAAACCAGCCCTTCTGGGAGCCGGCGGAGGAAACGGATTTGCACCGAATTTTTCACCGCCCGAGTATCATCCGTCGGAAAACTGGAAACCAACACCGACCGGAACACACGTCGGACTGATGAAGGACGCACCGCTGACCCGAAACGGACCAGCCAATTTCCTTCAACCGGCACAGAAACAGGGCGCAGTGATGATGGTCTACGGACTCGATAACAACACAGACAACACCGATAAACTGTTCAATCTGTTCTGCCTGTACGGAAATGTTGTCAGGATAAAGTTCCTGAAGACCAGAGAGATTCCAGATGGGAGACGCCATCGCAGTCGATTGCATTTTCCAATCAGAACTTCCTGTCAGAGTTCACCAACCCCTACACCCTGCCGGACAATTCGATCAGCTTCAAGGACTACAGCGCCTCCAAGAACAATCGCTTGTTTTCGTAGATCCAGGCCAGCAAAAATCACATTCTCCACTTCTTCAATACCCGGCTTGTCCGAGGATCTGCTGCTGACTGCATTCACCACCAAGGACTGCCACCCGTCGCAAGTGCGAATGTTCCCGCTGAAATCGGAAAGTTCCTCCCCCGGATTGGTCGAGTTCCCAAGCGTAACCCTGGCGGTGAACGCCATCATGAAGTGCAACCACAGCGCGATCGATCACAAAGGAATAAAATTCCTGTTCATTATGAAGCTGTGCTTCTCCTCCTCCAAGACGATGAACGGTGCGTGGAGCAACGAGAACATCGAAAACACGTAAGCTTGGAAAGTGTCGTCTGCCATGAAACACATCAACAGAGGTTTCATCACGTAGGGGAAATGGATGTAATGTCGGCTTAAGTGCCCCTAATTAGGGCCCATACATAAATTCAGCAATGGATTAAATTTTCAATAGCGACCAAAAATATCCATTAGGACCGTCCCAATGACGCGTTCATCTAGATAAAATTGATAAATATCAAATTTTTAGCGATGGGCCCAATCTTAGATATTTCAACAATCAAAGTTGCCAGTTTGCCGGATGCTGTATAATCTGCCAGGCTATGAATATATTGACTATACCACGAAGTCATTTCTAGAGCTGCTACATGAAAAACTCCGTTCTGTCTGCTGAATTTTAATAGATCCCGGAATTCTAGCACGCGGGGAAGGAACATGCTTAACTAGGCGAAAAATTTCCGGAAAATTGGCAAGAGGCCATTCATTCACTTTACACAGAACTTCCTCTCTCTCGCTCTCTCTCTCTCGCTCTCTATCTCTCGCTCTCTCTCTCTCGCATTCGTTCAGTGGGTGTGAGAGAACGAAAAACCATGACGGTAATGAAAATTGTACGGTGGAAAACCACAGCTGGAGGTATTTTCTCGACAATTTAACTCGATGGTGTTAAAAAGGGAAGAGGGACCGAGTTCGGAGGCAACGGACACGATGAAAGTTCGCAGGAATTCTGAAATACCAGGTGGCCGTTGGATTAAGGTCTTTAAAATTTCAGCGATTGGATTTGCCTGGATGAGTGCCGGTTGTATTCGTATGTAACTCATTCGTCTTAAACCAAGTCTCAAAAAAGGTCAGAGTAGCCTATGATTCATCGGATTAGCAACCGGCAAATCTAGCTCAATTGTTTTGTCATTCAAAGCTATCAATGCAAATACGTGACACGAATGGGAACATAATTAAATTTCCGACCAAACGTAATAAAATTAAAATCACCATAGCGAAGAATCAATTGGGCTTCATCACCGACGACACGGGGTCGTTCGTTCGTTCACTGGTTGATAAGAAATGCGACCGTTAAAGCACGATGACAACACGACGCTGACATTGTAGCCATTTCAGTGGGAAATTAATGACACCAACCAATTCCCCCCGACATTGTCCGCGGTCCAATCAGAAAGGATTACCTTCCTACTCATACTGCTGCGGTTCTCGATGACTCAAAGCTGCGAGGACCGATAAATACCTCTATCAATTCGAATGTTGAGACCGTAGAAAAGAGCATGCCAAAAATGGGATTTTATCAACTTTTATCGTGGTCAAGTTTCATTTTTTTTAACCCTCATCACGGGTGGCTAATAAAATCACCATCAATTTCGATGGAGGCTTTAAGAGAAAGGATCGGATTGAACAGAGCACGCAAAACAAAGGAACCCCGTTTAAATTCCGTTCGTCATGACGACGACGGCGATGACAGCCAGCAATGTTCAAGAGTTGCGCAATTTTGGCCTGCTTTGTTTTTCCATAATAGAGGTGCGAGGCGGAGCAGACGAATGATAAACTTTGCTCCTCGTTGGGTTTCCCGATGCTCGTTCGATGGGGAAATTAAATTGATAAAGAGGAAAAGTATGACTGCCAAAAGTGGATGGAATGTTTTGAACTTTCCGTTGCTTGGTTCCGTTCGGTTTGTGTTGTTGATGCTTAAACAAGGGTAGAACTATTTGTGTACATACGGCAGAAGCAATTATCGCTGATGGATGGATGGGAAGCGGATTGATCGCTTCTCATATGAGTGAGTGAGATAATGTTTTTATGGTTATGTTGGAGAGTTTTAAATACCCGCTTTTGAAAGGTACCTGATGATGTTTTGACAACTGAAACGAAATGTTCAAAATAGGATTTAATTGTGAACCGTGTATTTGACTTGTCTAATTGAGTTGTGTGAGTTAAAGTTCAATTCAGCCTCTTTAAAGCTTGGTGCATTTTTGAACATTCCAAATAAAGTTTTTTTTTCAACGCATCAATTCAGATTGCAAAAAGCTTTCGTGTCGTCATCTTATGTAAAATGATTAAAGGAATGCAATGACGACTGCGGCTTCAATTTTATAAGTGTAGGTCATTTTCAGGATCTATCCAGTATGTTTTTACCAAGGGGCTGGACACCTTTGTGAACTTATCGTTTGCATGGTTAATATAATAAGACATTTGTGAAAGTTACACCAGGGCTCTTCGACATTTAATTCACAGACAAACAGACATAACACTCGCAAGTTGTTCATCGAACAAGCATTTAACGGTCAATTTAAAAGTATCGTAGTTGGTAGTACCGCCACCTGTGGCGCGCATAGTCAATTCCCTTGCGTTTGACGTTTACACACTACCGCCATCTGTTCAGTGTACTACCCACCACAGTGTATTCAACAGATGGCGGTAATGTTTTAGCGACGATGTTTTACAGTGATAAGTATTCAATGTGTTATGTCTGTTTGTCTGTGTTTAATTGTTATGATAAGAAGTTGACTAGGGAATCGAAAACTTTTTTCTATTTTAACCATTTGATCTTTAAAGTAAAACAACAGAATTGAAACAGTGCTGAATAACGGTAGCAGTTTTTAAAGGAGAAAGGTAGGTTTATATAATGTGTAATTAATACAATCCCAGTCGCAAATTCCCAGTCTTAAAACCTCCCCTTGTATACCCATTAGGACCCATTGTTTCGGGCTGAAATTGCGAGGGCGTACAGTTGATGAACAGCACCAGCTCAGCCAAGCAGAAGTCCTCCAATTTGAACCCCCCATTAATGGTTATGGCTAGCAATCTAGGATCCGAAAGCCTTGCTAATTTTGCTGATCGAGCCTCGCCACGATATCCGTTAAGCTGGGGACGTAAGTTGCACTGAAAATAATATTTTGTTATCTGCAACGAAACAGATTCGTACACTGTACGAAACTAATTTCGCTAAAACTGTCACACTCGCTACTGATTTTATATCATATCGGAACGAATGCTTCGTAAAATAAATACGAAATGTTCGTATTTATAGAAAAAAAAAAGTACGAATCTTTCGTATATTCTAAATTTAAATTGGGTGCATTGTACGAACTTAAGTAAAAACGATGCATTTCAGGTTATCGCTGTATGTACGAATTCATTTCATTCGAGCGCACAACCATACTAATGCCAACGGGTACTGAGTAATTACTTTATCCAGAAGGCCTGTTTAGCACTTAACCGCCCTTATTATCGTGAAAACGACGGTGGGAATATTTCCCTGGCTGTGGTTCTTTCACCTTCCACCGTAATTAATTTTGTTTCAAAAACTAATAACTCCACACGGCACTTGCGTTTGTGAGCAGTGATGCCACATATACAGATGTTTTCAGTAATCATACAGATTTGTTCAATGTTTCGATACAGATATCTGTATATACAGATTACAGTTTTTTGAGAAATATACAGATTTTACACCTAATAATACAGATTTTTCAAATAAGGGGAATCTTTTGAATGGATTTCTAATGGTCACATGTTCTGATTTCCCGTTGGGAGGGATATTAGTTTCACTTTCTTTTTGTTTAATTAACAATGACACATGGTGACAGATACGATGGTTAATACACTTTGGTTTTTGTCAAACCAGTAAACAAGCCATATTAGCGAACCCGCAAACAGATTGATTACATATTATATTTTGTTCGTTACATACCAAGCAAACATAGTCGCTTTTAGTCGCGAAAAGTTATGGTTCTGAGATGCTCAATGACCCTGGAGGGATCGCATTTACTTACTGAGCAGAAAATCATGAGTCCCAAGCTCTTCATCATGACTCAGTAGTTTCAAAGTTGTTATTCACATCGTCGTGATTTTGCGCAGCTAAATTTGTCATTTTTTTATCACACGGGTTATCGTTATTCGTTTTTTTTCCGTTCGGTATACTTGTAATATTGTACTGGTTGTTAGTGGAAAGTGTAGTTCGTTGCGATAATCGGCTAATTAGAGCATATTTTATGTTGTGAAAACAGTTAAAAAAATTATCCAATCGGACATCAAGAGCAAATTTTCATTATGTCGTAAGTAACATTCGCACCAATCCGAGAAAAATAAAGTTTTGTTTTGATGACCGAAAAGTTATTCCTATTTCCAAGTAAACACATATAATCTCATAGTGATAGCAATGTTTAAAATATTTAGCAGGGTTTTAATCATACAAATGAAAATCGCTAGCTTTCATGCTAAAAAATACTGGTTTTTGAGTCAAAAGTTATTATACGTCGTTTGGTGGCCCCTATTGTTACTTAAGTCAAAATGTATTTACCAGGATATTCGGGAGAATTATCAATTACGTCTCCTTACGTGCAACCCATTCATCATTTTAGGACCACCGAAATCATCTTAGCAACAAACAGTTCGATTTATTCACTTTAATAAAGAGAAAGCGAAACGACGAACGTACACTTTTCACGGGTTTCTCAGCGCTGTTACTTAAATCAAACGGCATCTCCATAGAAATTGGGTGACTTAAGTAACATCGAAAACTATTTTGGTCGGAAGGTGATTACGTCAAAAAGCAATTTGACTGGTAAATAAATTTAAAAATGGGATTTGATCCTATATTCGAACAGTATATAGTGTAATAGCAGGAGAATCGATTGACACTGATAGCTCGACTTTGTTTACCTTTGTTACATTCGACGTAATGAAAATTTGCTCTTGATATTGTACACGACTAACATTGG